AAAATTTGAAACTTGTGTCATCGTTTTGACTAATAGCCCAAACATCCTTAAATAAAACACTAAATATCCAGAGACGAAAAGCAAGATTTTCCATATTTATATCAACTATCAATTAAAGAACTATCAGTGGAAACATTTTTCAACAAGAAATACGCGTTCATTAGAATCAATTAAATTGCAAAACTTTAATAAAAAAAACCTTAACAAAAAAACGTAATCTGCAAACGTGGGTCGTTTACGAGATCCCGTTAGACGTCCCTCGTAAGCACGGATAATTTTTCTTGGACACGAACGACCCCCCTTTGCGGAGTAAGGGTTGAACATCATTGGGATACTTTAGAGAGGATCGGTAGCCGTGAAGGCGTATGAAATTGGAGCACCCGTCAATCGCGAAAGGTGAAAGGTGCCCACGTGACGACGTCCCGATGCAACGTGTCGATTACAAGATAAATCCAGCATGCTTTCAGGGAAAGGCTACAGTGGTATTAATGAGGAGATCATGTGGATTAGCATCGGGATGGGGATCACCATTGCAGTGTTGATCACGATCGCGTTGTGTTACATCGCCCGTGAGAAATGTCGCAAGCGGCACGAAGGATATTACGCCTCCTGACGCACGCTTCCGCCGCCCTCGTGGGCCTCGTGGTCTTTCTCGCCGTCTACGCCCGGAGTCTTCTTCAGCCCTACCACGTCCAGAGGCAAACCAAGGGCGTACTACATCACCGTCTAACACCGAAATCCGGTGACTAATGACACCCGATTCATCCTCGATCAAGCTGACGTATCGCCGCGAGGAACCGACGGAATCGACGCGACGTAGTACCCGTCTACTTTTTTTCCCTACGTTTATTCCCCTTTTTCCGACTACCCTGATCCTGTCAGCCGTCGTCCAATCATGACGTGACGATGATGCATGCTACGAGGAATCGTATCGACGGGTTTCGTCGCGGGACGTGGCAAAGCAATTTCCATCCGACGGATACGTAGATTTTGTTAAATATTTTATTTCGCGAGTTTCAACAGCCGGGATTAACATGGTTAATGCTAGCTGATGGTATCGACGCAGTTCGAGTGATGGATCGTTCCTTGTTTTCAAGGAAATTCAGGGAACGTGTTCAATGCATATTCTATGATACGCTAGACTTCCGTATAATGTAAATTCCTATGACGTGCCAAAGATATTGCAACTACTTTTTTTATACGACACACGTGTCAAGTAATAAAACGCAGGAATTACCTGATTTGATATTTAAATCTACTTTAATTACGCATTAGATTGCTGATCGT